CCACCGTGAGTTTTGGAGCAGGCTGTTCTCTCCGGGGCGAATGCATTGATTAGAAAAACCCACTGCCCCTGGAAAGATACCAGCCTGGCATGGCCAGCTCTCAGGCAGACTAGGGAAGGGACATGGGCAAAGGGGTCCATGAGGGCACTTTTGGGACCAGCCTGGCCAGGATTTTAGGAGAGGCTAGGATTCTGGGCTGGCTCCAGCCAGGTGCCCAGCAGCCACCTGGGTCACCTGTCTGCCCCATGACTTCACTAGGGCAGGGGGTGGGGGGAGTGGGAACACAAGAGAGAGGCTAGAAAGGGGGCAGGGGTCCCAGCAAGCCGGCACTCAGGCCCTTCCTTGCACAAGTCCCTGATGTCTCCTGCCCCAGATGCCTGCTGCAAGGAAAGTGGGATCCTTTTGCTAAACTGCAGCACATGGAACAGGCTGAGAGAATTTGAAGGTCCCAAGGTGCACAGAATCCGACTTGCAGGCTTTCTGTTGAACACAGAATGGCTTGCTCACCTGAACTGCGAAACACAGGAAGACAGGGCCCAGCTCCATCTCTCATCCTGCCCCATGTGCTAAGGTCTGAATGTTCGGGTCCCCCTACCCCCAAATCCTATGTTGAAATCCTAACCTCCAATGTGATGGTGTTAGGAGGTGGGGCCTTTGGGAGGTCATTAGGTCATGAGGGTGGAGCCCTCATAAATGGAATTAGTGCCCTTATAGAAGAAGTGTCAGCTGGGCATGGTGGCTCACACCTGTAATCCTAGCACTTTGGGAGGCTGAGGCAGGCAGATCACTTGAGATCAGGAGTTCGAGACCAGCCTGGCCAACATGGTGAAGCCCTGTCTGTACTGAAAATACAAAAATTAGCCAGGTATGGTGGCATGGGCCTATAAGCCCAGCTACTTGGGAGGCTGAGGCCGGTGAATTGCTTGACCCTGGGAGGCAGAGGTTGCAGTGAGGCAAGATTACAGCACTGCACTCCTGTCCGGGTGACAGACAGAGACTCTGTCTCAAAAAAAAAAAAAAAGTACCAGAGAGCTGCCTTGTCCCTTCTGCCATGTGAAGATACAACAAGAACCCACCATCTATGAGCCAGAAACTGGGGTTCTCACCAGACACTGAGTCTGCTGGTGCCTTGATCTTGGACTTCCCAGCCCCCAGAACTGAGAGACATACATTTCCATGGTTCCAGAGTTATCCAGTTTATGGTATTTTATTAAGCATCCCAAACAAACTAACACCCAGCCACCTCTGCAGAATACAAGAGCACCCAGACAGTTTGAAAACTACCAATCTAGCCTGATGTCTTCACTTCCGCGAGCCAGAGAGGTTAGGTGACTTGCCCAGGGTTTCCAGTCAGTCAGAGGCAGAACTGAGCCCCCAATCCAGCCTCCAGACTGCTCTTTACTCCACTTTGTGTTAGTTCTCTCAGATTCTAGCAACTTAAGTTCCCAAGAGTCTGGGGATTCTGGGAACCCCCATCTCCCACCCTAAGCATCTCTGAGCTCTGTCAGGGCTCAGGCTCCCTCCCAACCTGCACTGCAAAGGTTGAGGCAATCAGGTACCTCTGCATCACCACCCCACTAAGCCAGGAGGGCTAAGCCAGGGAAACTCAGAAACAACACCTTACCCGTGCCCCTCTGCCCTGGGACCCAGATCCATTGAGATGAAGGGTCCAGGCTGTTGAAAGGTGGAAACCCCTGCCCTCGCTGGAGAGCCCCAAGGTCATCTCGATGCCACAGGTAAACGCCTGCAAGGCTGGCTGTCCTAGGTGCTGTACCTCCCACACCCTGACTATTGAAGTAGGGCAGAGAGAGGTGCAGGGATGTGTCCGTGCCACGCCGCTCCCCCCAACCCTGGTGGTGTGCACAGTGTGGTGTGGGTTTGTCCTCTGGCCCTTGGAGCTGCCATGGGTAAGGTGTGACACTGCCCTGGTCAGACAGGGCTGCCAGGAGGGACACTGTGCCCCCTGCCCTCCCTATGGGGCCAGAGGTGGGGTGGAGGACTCTGCCTACTCAAGTCTGGCAAAAGGGCTGGATGCAGGGCATGCAGGCAGCCTTGGTCAGGAACTATTTAGGACCTTTATGAACTTTTTTCGTACTTTGACTTGTCCTCCAAATACTTGAAGTAGCCCAGAATTGACATGCTGTCAGGTCTCAAGAACTTCTCTCTTTCTCACCCAAATCCCCTAGGCTTCTGGGAACAGGAAGAAGGATCCCAGGAGGCCATGGCAGGATTGGGGTGGGTGATGCAAGTCCATAGGAGAGGGCTGCTAGCCCAAGGATGTCCCTGCCCTTTTCCTGCTCAGCAACCGTGCCTGTGGTTCTTCTGTGTGCATGCTGAGAGCTTCCCTTCCTTGGGGAAACCAAGGAAGAAGGCCCACGAGGGCCTGATGAGGTAGAAGTCCCAAAATGTGGGATGCAGAATGAAGCATTAATTCATTCACACAAGGCTATCAGCCTTACTTGTCTTGTTCTACACCACAGCCCATGTGTCTGGCATGGATAAATGGGTGGGTGGATGAGTGGAGGGGTAGATGGGTGAGTGGATGGGTAGATGGATGGATGGATGGTAGATGAATGGGTGGGTGATTGGGTAGGTGGGTGGATGGGTAGATGGATATGTGGATGGGTAGATGAATATGTGGAG